CAAAAATACTGGAGTAGGTTTCCATGACCTCCTCCAGAGGATCTTCCCAACCCAGGGTTTGAACTGGCATCTCTTACATCTTTTGAATTGGCAGGCAGGTTTGTTACCATTAGCATCACCTCACAGGTCCACAACTTTTCATTATATTCTGTGAAATGAAAACATCTCCTGCCATATTAATAAACAAGAAATGTCACAATCATCACCAATATCTGGACTCCAAGTGTGAATGAGGACTCCCAAAACTGAGATCCAGCAGATGCTGCCACCCCCACAGTGATTGCTGAGGGGCTGGGGGAATGCAAGAAGCAAGGTGAACGAGGAAGTAGGATTGGCTCCAGATAGCTGAAGTGAATATGAAAGGAATGAATTCAGTGATTCCAGAGACTTGCATCTTCCCATACATACAATGCTAAATTCCTTAACTTGATACCTGATCTTTGATGTTCAAACTGCCTGCTCCCTTTATTGCAAACTTGTATATAGCCTGACTTCCCCCCCTGCGCCCTAAGAGCATTTTTCTCAGAGCTACTTCCTAGATTTAAAGTCTTAAACCTTCCCTCCAAATGAAACAGCTCTCTGCTTTCAGGTTGTGACTATATTTTTTAGTCGGCAATCATGATAATCCTTTGAGGTGGTTTGACGGGTGTCTGAATAACCTGTATGCAGGTCAGGAAGTAAACGTTAAAACCAGACATGGAGCTAGAGATGGGTTCAAAATTGGGACAGGAGTCTGTCAAAGCTGCATATTGTCACCCTATTTATTTAACTTCTATGCAGAGTACATCATACGAAAGACTGGGCTAGATGAAGCACAATTTGTAATCAAGACTGCCAGGAGAAGTATCAATAACCTCAGATATGCAGATGACACAACCTTAATGACAGAAAGTGAAGAGGAACTAAAGAGCCTCTTGATGAAGGTGAAAGAAGAGAGTGAAAAGCTGGCTTAAAACTCAGCATTCAAAAAACTAAGATCATGGTATCCAGCCCCATCACTTCATGGCAAATAGATGGGTAAACAATGGAAACAATGAGAGATTTTATTTTCTTGGACTCCAAAATCACTGCAGATGATGACTGCAGCCATGAAATTAAAAGACACTTGCTCCTTGGAAGAAAAGCTATGACCAACCTAGATAGCATATTAAAAAGCAGAGACATCACTTTGCCAACAAAGCTCCAGATAGTTGAAGCTATGGTTTTTCCAGTAGTCATGTATGGATGTGAGAGTTGGCCCATTAAAGAAGGCTGAGCACCGAAGAATTGATGCTTTTGAACTGTGGTACTGGAGAAGACTCTTGAGAGTCCCTTGGACTGCAAGGAGATCAAACCAATCAATCCTAAAGGAAACCAACCGTGAATATTCATTGGAAAGACTGAGGTTGAAGCTGAAGCTCCAATACTTTGGCCACCTCATGGGAAGAGTTGATTCATTGGAAAATACCCTGATGCTGGAAAAGATTGAGGGCAGGAGGAGAAGGGACGACAGAGGATGAGATGGTTGGGTGGCATCACTGACTAAATGGACATGAATTTGAAGAAATGTGGGGAGATAGTGAAGGACAGGAAAGCCTGGCATGCCACAATACATGGGGTCACAAAGAGTCAGACATGACCGAGTAACTGAACAACACTGGTGTTATTCTCCATTTCACAGCACAAAAAATTGAATGTACATAGTTAACATATAGAAGGGTTTGGGGGAAGAGGACAGAATCATAGAACTGGAAGGCATCTATTTCTGTTAACTCAATTTGAAACTAAAATTGTTGAGATCTGGAGAGGTTAAACACATTACCCACATTGTACTGAGTATTTGATCCCCATCCGCTGGTGTCCAGGCTGCAGTTTTTGTCCCTATGATTCCCCTCTCACAAATCAGTAAACATGTGTTAGAGCAGAGTAATGGTATCCATGTCAGGCAACACATTCTTAACTGGTGTCTCCTTCCTCCTGTCTTAATATACAGACACCAGGTCACTTGAGAAGTGACATAACATGATTTTTTAATGTGAATGTTTAGTGGTCAAGCTGACCCAGCACCATTCAACTTGGGTAGAGAAAATAATTTGAAAGTATGAAAAAAAGCTCTTTCTATCTGCAGGGTTCCTTCAGGTTGATCACTGTACATTCACAACCACTTTTATTCCCTGATTTTATTTTATTTTTTCCTTTTACTGTTGTTCACTGAGCATCTTCTAGCCACCAGAAGAGCACCCTTCTCTAAGCTCCGTGAGCATTCCTCTTTTTCCTTTCTGATTCTGTGGTGCTGCTTGTGTTCAATTTCTGACATCATTACCCTAGAAACAGAAACCCCGTATGGGAGACTGCTCTATTCATGAGTTGATAAATGTGATCTAAACAGGGTTTTTCCAAGGGGCCTTTGTGAGCTCAGATGATAATCTACCTGCAATGTAGGAAACCTGGGTTTCCTCCCTTGGTCAGGAAGATCTCCCAAGAAGGGAATGGTTACCTCCTCCAGTATTCTTGCCAGGAGAATTCCATGGACAGAGGAGCCTGTTGAACTACAATCCAAAGGGTTGGAAAGAGTCAGACATGACTGACTTTCACTTTTTTCACTTTGTGAGTCAGGAAGTTGATGGCCAGCCATTCAGGTTGAAGAACCTCTTCCCCTCCCCATAGCTTCATAACCCATGTAGTTCCCAAAAGGAGAAGAAGTATGGATCTCCTACAACAAAGAAGGACCCAAAACCCCTCTTCCAACTGCTTCAATCACGAAAGCTACCAACTTAGTGCCTCTGTGATACTGGATGAGAATCCCTGAACTTTTCATATCACCTATCTCTCATTTTGCTGTGCATTCTTTTCCTATGATAGTCTCCATTCTTTCCCTTCTCTCTGTCCCCTCTCTTCCACATTAGCTGATCTTTTTCTGTACATTATTCTATCTGCAGCATAATAAAAACATACACCAAAAGAACCATAACATTTTCCAAACTGTTCCCTGTCCTCCTTTTCTTTCTCGACCACATGAATTGCTACTTCCTTCAAAATCCCTTCTGCAGAAGTTAGCACTCAGTTTTTATTCCATTTTCTCAAAATTTTCAGCTTTATGGTTTGTATCGCTCCTTTGGCACCTCTTAGATGTGGCCTCTTATTATTATTACTTATCTGTTGATGTCTCTGTTGTGTTTTCTCCCATAAGATGATAAGTTCCTTCCTCGAAGGCAGTGACATATGTCCTCAGGATCTACTAAGGTATCCTCCACAGAGTCTATTATGAATACAATAAATATCTGGCAATGATGCCTGCCTTTGTATTTGGTGGAATTTCTCTGGCTTGAGCTTTCTTTATTTATTTTATGGTTGATTCTGTTTTCATTTTGAAGTTACAAGAGGGCAGGAGTGGCTTGAGCTTAACAGTACAAGGTGTTATAAGCATCTTTTCATATCTGGAAATGTTTCCAGTGTCCCCACTTAATTTATAGTTTGGGTGTGCCAAATTAATCATTCAGGCAAGAATTTTCATTACAAATATTATAAACCCTGTATCGTTGAATGATTTTAGGACATTTCCCTTCCTGTGGTTTAAATAAATTCTCTTCATAGAGAAGTTGTACCTTTCCATGCAAATGAGGACATTATCATGACTTAGGCAAGGCTTTGATGATAATAATAGTGACAATTACTGAGTTCCTATTACATAGCAAACATTGTGCTTAGTATCTAATAATCTCATGAAATGTTAACCGCTTTAATAAGTACTGTTATTTTCTGCTTGTAAAGAAATTGGAGTTTGGAGAATTTAAGTAACTAACCCAAGTTAATGTAGCTAGTAGGTTTTGGCATCTAGACAAGGGTTTGGGAAAGCCCTCGTATTTGCACCTAATAGGAGCTTGAAAATGTGTAATGATGATGATAAAATATTTTCCTAACCTCCTTTCCTTACCCAAGGTCATATTTAAGCTATGTGTTCTATTGAAGTATGTATTACAAAATACGTGTTTACCAGTTTTAGTAAGACGTTTTCTCAAGAGCCAAGCTCTCATGTGAGGCAGTAACTTAATAATGTTCAATGTCATTATTTTTAAATACAAAATAATTTTGACATAATATATATAATAATTATAACTAAAGCTTTTAGAATCTGTAAATATATCACATTATTTGCGATAGCAAAACTATGAGGTGTTACTAAGCTAACACTTCATACTGTAAAATTTGGAACAAATAATAATAAAAATTGTAATGGAATATAGTATCCCTTCAAAGTTTTTCCACATTATTTCCATTTAAAGATGCAAAGATTTCACTAGATAATATGTCTCTAAATAATATCTTATTTATATAGGACTTTTAAATCCTACAAAGAAGTCATAGTGGTTATAGTCTCTCCAAATCATATCATCTAAAGCTTTAGTTATATTTATATGTCTGATGAATGGATTCTGTTCAATGAGAATTTGATGCAATTATTTTTAAAGTCTTGAAATGAATGCTCAAGGAATATTGATCTGAACCACATCGACTAATAGTTTAATCAACAGGTCACCAACAAACAGCAATGTGAATTCAATTGATGCACTGTTGTGCTTACACTGCAAAATGATTTATTTCTTTCCCAGACATAATTATAAAACCATAGGAGATATTCAATCATATGTTGGACTTTTCTAAGAATTTTATTAGAACTTGTTTTTAAACCTTAATTGAAATGTTCTAGAGAATAACCTACATGAAACCCAATTAGAGTATAGTGGTGGTGCCTTAAAAGCCAGGAGACTTTGTCTAGTTAGTGTAAATACCATAAATTCCTGGCTCTGGGATCAAGAGTTACATTTTCACATGCTTAACATCCATTTAGGAAATTCCCTTTGCCAATTGACTTAATGGCAGCATAGCACTCTCAAAAAATTAACAGGTCTAAAACATTAACAGTTTATGCTATAATACCATTATCTCCATTTTATAGGAGAAAACCCTATTGCAATTTTACCAGTCTTTGACTAATACACAGTATTTCTTTTTTAATGCAGGTAAATGGTTTAACTATGGCATTATCTTTCTCGTCTTGATTTTGGATCTTAATATGTGGAAGAATCAGATATTTTATAAGCCTCATGAATATGGACAGTATATTGGCCCAGGACAGAAGATATATACAGTCAAAGACTCAGAGAGTCTAAAGGATTTGAACAGAACCAAGCTATCCTGGGAATGGCGGTCCAACCACACCAACCCTCGGACTAATAAAACCTATGTTGAGGGAGACATGTTCCTCCACAGCAGGTTCATAGGGGCAAGCCTCGACGTCAAGTGTCTGGCTTTTGTTCCAAGTTTAATAGCTTTTGTGTGGTTTGGATTCTTCATTTGGTTCTTTGGACGGTTTTTGAAAAATGAGCAAGGCATGGAGAATCAAGACAAAACTTACACTCGCATGAGAAGAAAATCCCCCTCCGAGCACAGCAAGGACATGGGAATCACAAGGGAAAATACCCAGGCCTCAGTGGAAGACCCGCTGAGCGACCCTGCCTTGGTGTGCATCAGGTCTGACTTCAACGAGATCGTCTACAAGTCTTCCCACCTCACGTCGGAGAACTTGAGCTCGCACTTGAATGAATCAGCCAGCACCACTGAGGGTGACGGGGGTCCAACGACTTCCAAAAGTACACCGACGAACTAGATCCACTTTTGGGGAAAGCACAAAGAGCAACCTTGAGTGTAACTTTCAGAAGTTAGTCTTTCCTTTTGTAAATGTGAGGTTTACGTAGCGTTAGGTAAAGAAATACAAATGATGCCACAACGGTGCTCAACATGCTTTTTCTAGGACTCATTGTTTTTTTCTATTTGTATTATTATGATACCTGTGCCTACAGTATATCTAACAGTCCTCTAGAGATTGCTTTTCACAGTTGCACAAGCTATTTACTGGCTTTACAGCCTACTAGATTAGCTGGTTACCCGCGTATCCAATGTTCAACCATAGTGGTGCCTTGAGACATTAAACTTTTTAACTGTACCAGAAATGAAGCGTGGAACAGTTCTCTAACCTACGTCACATGGGTTTTTTTTGTATACAATTATTTTGATCTCCACTTAATGTCTGAGCAGGAAACAGATATAGCCAAGATGTGGTTCAGAAAGTATGTCTCGCTTTCTTATTCAGCAGTGAAGTTGGTGACTTTGACAGCTGGACTGCAGAGAAGCATAGTGATTACCTTTGAATTTTTATTGGCTTCCTGCCAAATACAAATACAGATGCAGAATTCAGTAATAGGAGAATGATAATTCAGCATGGGTCACTACTTGTGAAATGTGACTTTCTCCAACCAGTAATTGCAATTAGATGATAATATGTAATTATGTTTTCCTAATTACAGATAAATTGCTACCTGATTAAAAATCCTGCCCTTCACCTTTGGGACCAAAGGTTGAGAGGCACAGTTAGGTAAACTCTGAAGTTTATTGGCATTTACACAAAGCCCTAGGAAACCAAGGAACTGAAGTTTTAATCATGTGAGGGTTGTGCAGCCTACCATCTACAATATTTGTACATCTTTCTGTAAATATGGCTCTGGACAGTGAAAATTGAAAAATATATGCCAGCCCTGAGCAAGGGAACACCTCTAAAAAATCATGCCATGGAACTTTGTGAGGTAGAAAAGAAGATGCGCATGAAAAAGTCTGTTTATTGGCTTGTTTTGTGTGTGTGTGTGTGTTTGTGTTGTTTTCCTTTTTTTTTTTAAGAACTAAACATCGCACATTAATAAATCAGAATTATAAATCAGTAATTATGTGATCTAGTTGTTTGTTTATAATATAAGGATCAATTGTATCTTAGTTTAACAACAGCCCTTTTTAAAAAAAAAAAAAACTCAAAGCCAGGCAAGCTACGAAATGGAACAATCCCAACTTGCTTTTAATTTTGTTCCATAAATTGTGGTTACATGTTTCTTGAGGGGGTTGAGGAGGATTCACTTTTAAGGCAAAATTATTTTCTTGTCACATACCAACATAGCTCTATTTTGTCTTTATGATTTTTTAAACCTCTTTTGTTTTGATCTATCTGCTTTTAAGCTTGCTGCATGTTGAAATTAGCATGCATAATAGAACTATGCATTTATCTGTCACTTGAGAGTCAGCTTTAATAAACATCTTTCTACCATTGTTTGCTCAGCAATTGAAACCATGCCCCTGCTGTTTCTTTTACCTTTAATAGCATGCATGGGGTACTTAGGAACATAAATATCTCTGACACTAAAATTACAGAGATCAAGCTCACTGTGGTAACCCATTGACCCTTCTGTGCAAAAGAACTTATCACATTATCCCTGATATGTAGGAACACTGGCCATTACCAAATCTCCATAGCATGGAGCATTCAACTTTTGGCTCTGGGACAAGTAGATAATGCCACTTAAGACTATATTTTTATTTTTTCTGAAAGTCATTGTCTTGTAGAATGAGGAAGAAATTGGTTTAGAAAGCGGGTGTTATTATCTGTATGTAGTCCTTATTAAAATATTATTTGAGGATCTTTACATGGCTCTTAAGGAATACTTCATGAAAGAATCTTGTCAGCAGAGATAAGATAAAAAACAAACCAATTCATCAACCTTAGAGCACTATGCTTAGGTGATTTAGGGGGTTGACTGGAGAAAGTGGATATCAGCTGATATGAAAATATGTCTTTAAGGTTTCCATGAATTTTAGTATCAAATGGAATAATTTCCAAGGATGACATTTTAGAATAGTCAAACAAGAGTCAAGCCTTCAAAGACTTCCAGTATTCAGTTGTATAGACCACTCTTGACCTTTTCATCTGCACATGGGTCTCCCTCCTTTTGTTACTTCTTTTGTTGTATTGTACATTCCATTTGCACCTACTCCAACTAAAGATTAGGAAATGAAATAAAGTCAAAATCACACCCATCCATGCTTAGTCTCAGATCTGGACTTGTATGTCACTGGGTTATGACTCCATGGAGCTTTATGAATACAAAACTTTTGGACTATCAAGGACACTTTAAAAATGTGTAGTAAATTCAGAAAATGGAGAGTTAAAAGAAGAGGATTAAAAATCACTAACCACAATTCTAAAGAAAGCATAACAAATGTGATGACTTAATTGCTGTGATGCTTAAGAACTATAAACAATTATATTTCTACTGTTCAGTAATTATAGTATTTTCTTCTGTACAGTGTAGAAATTGTACTAATTTGACATGATTTTAGTATCCTATATCACAGAGTACTTCATTAGCAGTTTAAATTGAAAATTAAATAAACACTTGAATTTATTCCTTATAATATATTCCTAGACATAAATCTTATGATCACATACCCATTTAAATTATATAACCACAGTCAGTTATCTCATCTCCCCGTGGTGGCTCCTTATTGCATTCACTTATCTTCTTGCACATCTAAGATCATCAGTGACTCCTATTAGAAATGCTAAGAATTATTTCTTCTTCATTTTTTTCTAAGAGTCCTCAGACACAAAATCCCCTGTCACGTTTATAGCATCAGACTTCACAAGTAGTGTCCAGTAGCACTACCGGCTAACAAGACAACAGAAAGTTGTTCAACACAGACACTCCTATCTGAAAGTAAGAGTTGGTAGCACTGTCATATCTCATGACTGGGCTCTATGAGCAATTCTGTTACACTCTTTGGCTGTCTTCTGAGTCCCTTGCATTCATGCTAAGTCACTTCAGTCATGTCTGACTCTTTGCAGCCCTATTGACTATAGCCCATCAGGCTCCTCTGTCCAGGCAAGAACACTGGAGTGGGTTTCCATGTCCTCCTCCAGGGGATCCTGCCAACCCAAGGACTGAACCCGCATCTCCTGTGGTATCCTGCTTTGCAAACCAGTTCTTTAGTGTTGAGCACCTGGGGAAGATAGTTTATGATGCCAACTGTATTACCTGACAGCCAAAATCTCAGCACCCTACCATTTCTTACCACTTCCTTGTCCTCACTGCAAACTGACACTTCACTCTTGGGTTATCGTTGTTGTTCAGTCACTAAGTTGTTTCTGACTCTCTGCTACCCCGTGGACTGTAGCCTGCCAGTCTCCTCTGTCCATGGGATTTCCCAGTCAAGAATACTGGTGAGGGTAGCTATTTCCTTCTCCAGGGGAAGCATCCCGACCCAGAGATCAAACCCACGTCTCCTGCACTGGCAGGCAGATTCTTTACCTCTGAGCCACCAGGGAAGTCCTCATTCTCGGATGCTATTGCTGCTGCTGAGTCGCTTCAGTCGTGTCTGACTCTGTGCGACCCCACAGACGGCAGCCCACCAGGCTCCTCCGTCCCTGGGATTCTCCAGGCAAAAACACTGGAGTGGGTTTCCATTTCTTTCTCCAATGCATGAAAGTGAAAAGTGAAAGTGAAGTCGCTCAGTCGTGTCCGACTCTTTGTGACCCCATGGACTGCAGCCCACCAGGCTCCTCCATCCATGGGATTTTCCAGGCAAGAGTACTGGAGTGGGGTGCCATTGCCTTCTCCCATTCTTGGGTATGCAACCCCAATTTGGTATTGTGCTTTTATTGACTTTTCTCTCTCAGCTGGAGCTGTGACTTCCTAATCTATCTGGCCTGATTTCCCCCAGCTTTGTTACACAGAACCAAACTCTATAATCTATTAACCACTTCTGCCCTTAGGAAGGAGAGAGCAATTGAATTAGTTTTGCAACAGATAAACTGGCACTTTTCTTCTTTATCCCTATTTTTATTTTTAAACATGTTTGTGTACATGTGGTAGTGATTAACGAGAACAAAGATAGATAAGGGACCCAAGGTCAGGCATGTTTGGCTTGCTACTGTTCAGGCTGGACCAGGCTGTACTGTAACTGAACAATTAGAGAAGTTGAGATGTAGCATTTGTGGCTTACAAGTCACTCTTGTTGAAGATAATTGGAAAATGACATGGATATTTATAACTGAAAGAGAAGGTTAGGCAGATGGTAGAGCATGGATGGAAATGCAGCAAGGAAGTCTTGGAAACGAAAAATGGCAGTTTTAGTGCAAATGGGCCTTGAAACATCAGGGAATGGAGGGAGGCTGTTGTCAAAGGAACTTCAACATGAAGTTATGAGGGCAGTACTCCTGCCTGTTAGGCAGGAGACTCAGAAAGATGTTGAATACAACTGAGGGGGTGACGCAAAAGGTTGGATGGTTCCCTAAGCATCCTTACACTCAAATGATGCCACATCTGCCCCACGGAGTGTGATGAAACCCAAAAGTCGGGGTATGGGACCTTGGAAACAAACTACAGACATAGGTGTTGGTGGAGGGGGCAACACAAGAAGAGAAGGACGAAATCAACACGTAACAGATGAAAGGCTGCAGCTTCCTTGATGAGAGAACAGACATGAGGGCAAAGTCTGTAGTGTATTATTAGCATATAAAAGCTGGCATCTTGTGAACAAAAATATCTTGCAGATCCTTTGGGATAGACATTCTGAAAATTTTTAGTGAGGAACACTAAAAAAAAGTTAGGTAGTATTATTACTATTTTAACACATGTAAAATACCACTGATTTTGGGTGTTAAGTATCAGTTACTTTACTTCAGAGAATATGAAACACATCTAATATATTTCATAGGCTTATTTCTAAGCTCTGTCCTCTAACATAATTTTTCATATGGTTTCAAGTTTTTTAACATCACATAATTTT